GAATACACGCCACTTTGAATAATTAAAATTTCAATAGCATTTTACTCAATAAATAAGGAGAGAAAATTAGATAGATAAATATCACCATTTATTTTCTATTAATTTCCTTATTATTTTTAATGGAAATAATTTGGTTTTTATATTCTAAATTTATAATTAATAATTAATCTATATAAATTATATCCAGAGGAAAATAACTGGAGAACATTTTGCCCTATTTTAAGTGTTAAAGTAGGTCTGCCATACATTAAAATAAATTTTGTTTTTCTTTCTTTTTTAAATCTTCCGTATGTCCTAGATTGTTTAATTTAGTAATGTAATTTAATTAACGATAATACTTTGAATTTTTTTTATTATGTTTATAGCAAATTTTAATATTTTAACAAAATTCATACATATTTAGTGACGGTTTTAGGCGAAAGATGGTGCCACTTATATACAAAATTTGTTGTACTGTATATAATTTAAAATTTTAAAGAAATATTTAAATATATTAATAAAAGTTTTTGAATTTATTTTACATCAAATTTAAATACATTTTAAATTTTTTAATAATTGAGCGTTTATTATGATTTAAACAGAATTATTAATACTAAATTTTTATAATATAAAACTATTATCTGAATAAAGGTTTTTAGTTATTCATTAATTTTATATTTATTACCGAATAAATATTTTAAAATGAATAACTTCAAACACGTTTCGATCGTTTCAAAAAATAAATAAATAAATAAAATATCGATCTGACGTCAGAGAGACGTAAAAGCGGCAATGACGTCACGAAATATTATTGCCCCTGGCGTGGAGGAAGCGAACTATATCAGTCAAGTAGTTCTTCCGTACAGAAAAGCATGGGAAGCGTTTAGGGAGAAAAATATTCGAAAAAAAATCGATCAAAACTTAACAGATTTGTGTCGGTATGTCGAAAAAAAGATGCGAATATCCTTGTAGAGTAGAAGGATGGTTAAATATATGCGGTAAGTACACTTTTTAAACGTTTGTGTAGAAGCAGTTCAATCACCCTGCATGTGGGCTAACGCGGTGGGTCTTCACTTCCTCTTTTAGTACCTTCATATCTTCAATCTACTATATTTATACTTTACATACTAATTATAAGTCGGCATTTTTAAGGATCCACTCGAATATATTATTACACCTCATTCTCCAGTTTTTTTTACATTTTCAATCTTTTTTAAGGTCATCTACTTGGCTCATCCATTCTGACATTGGAAAAATTATGAAAATTCAAGGTGAGAAGAAACTAGAATCAACATTAGATGATCCAGGAAATGTCGATGGGGAAACAGATTATAGTAGCAGTGATGAAGATAAAGTGGCTCCTTCGATGGAAGAAAAGTGTGGCAGTGGCAATTCTGAGGAAAAGTTAAAAAATCGTTTTGCATTGCTTTTATCTTAAACAATAGTCATCCAATTTTAAATTCTTCCATAAATCATTTAAAATTAAAAAGTGAACAGTATGTTCAGGTTTTAAAAAAATCTCTCTGGTTGTTTTAATTTTTGTTATATATGTTAAAATATATATAATACTATAATTGGATTTTGCTCAGAAAACCCCGCACAATTTCTCAGTAATCATCAGGGTTTATTGTAATTTATTGACTAAAAATAAATGAATTATTTATTTTAGAAATAGAGAATGTAATCTGATAATATGAAGCTAATTCGTGTTTTAAATATATATTTTTTTATCACACAGTTTAATGGAAAGTTGTTATATTAGCTTTTTAAGAGTGAATATACAGTATGTATAATATATTACATCTTTTTATTATATTGGATAGTATTAGAGACAGTCAGATTGTCTTATTGACATCTTTTTAATTTGCTATACGGTGAGATCGATGATACTAATACAATAGAAATCGGGAAAAATATTTCAGGAATCTAAGGTATAAAATCAAAACTTGCCAAGCAAGAAAGAATTAAGCATTAATTCCAAAGGCACTTCCATCTATATATGAGTGCAATTGCATCTANATCATCTTAAGTAAATCATAAAAAATTAGAGTTAATTCTTGCTATTCATCACTTTTCTAAACTCGAAGAATAAAAATTCTACCTCGTTCTTATATCATGAGCATCTCATAATGTGATAAGAAGACAGGCGACTCTTCCCAATGGATAATGATAATGGATAATGCTTCCAGATAATATTTTATACACCGAAAAGGAAAAATTGTGAGTTATGAGGTTTTCTAGATGCTCCTCTTTAAACAATCTCATGCATTTTAAAATGGTCGAATAGAAGAAAAAAAAGAGGTTGTGGATAATCAATTAAATTCACGCCCATCCTATTTCATTATCATAGATTATATTGGATTTTAAATAGTTTTGGCATGTCTTTTATGAGATTTTTACTATCTTGTGCCTTATAAATCTGTAGATATTCATTATTTCTGTAGAAAAATAAAGATTTATCATCTTGATAATTAATAGGATTTCTCGTTTTTCTGGATTTTATAAGAAAAATTATTTTGTTTGATTATCTCCAATTGAACTTTATTCATTTTTTAAGCACATTATTATATTGCTCCAGACCGCGTATGATAATGTGTAGGCTACATAATACACATTACACGAATTATGTAATATTGGCACATGATGCAGATTATGTATAATTCACATATTAATAACAAATTATTATCTGGAAAGTACAAATGTATCGATTATCTGTATATTAAAAGTGTGTACATGCTAGATCAGAACCCCACTTTACGATCGCTCCCTTTACAATCCCCCTTTCTTACGACTGATATGGAATTTCCTGTAATTATAATTTTATATTTCCATTTCGATGTAGTTTTATACGATTCAAAATTTATTCCCAAAAGTAGAATTTCAATTTATGATATAAACTATGAAAAATTTGAGTTTGATTTACGACGTTTTTTATGATAAAATTAGGTCGTAAATGCGGGGCTCTACTATATAAAAAATATTTAAAAATCTTCAAAATTTAATTTCCATTTAAAGCTGCGATTTTCAAATATTAATCCGATTTATATATTTATTAAGGATTTCTGTAGACGCGATCGTTGTGTTGCATTTAGAATATTTGTTTTGGAAAATAAATGATCCGTTATCAATATTCCAGAGAATAAATTAATTTGATATTACTCATACTGGAACATACGTTTTTGTTTTTCATTCCTAGATTTGAAGATTTTCTCTAGAAATAGTTGATGTATTCTCTAGAATGTAGAGAACAAATTTTAGAATCTCTTTTGGAGTAATATTCTAAATTTATTCTAGAACAAATTAATTACAAAATATTATTTCAAGAATATTCTGCAATGAGCTTATTTTATATTTTATTATTATTATAGAATAAAAGAATTTTAATAAATTCATCATAGAACATTTTTCGAAGAATACTCTAGAACAATCTGTAGAATAACTGCTTATTTTAGAATAAATAGTTTTAATTTGTAACGCTCGGATAATCACTATTAAAACATTCTTCTAGGATTATTATTATTAGCCTATTATTATTATTATATCTAAAGTTAGATAAAGTAAAAAATGAATATTACTGTTTGTAGACGTGTATAAAATATTTATACGTGTAAACCTGTATAGATCTTTAGGCCAGTTTAACGAAGATAGGCACCAAAAAAATTTTAATTATATGTTTTTATATGAAGCTGTAGATAAATCGTTACGGGGAATCTTCGATTTAAATAATCTGGAAGATAATCTGCTCTACTTTATATTGATCGCTCTGTACAAAGGCTAGTTTTTCTAGATTATTAGGTTCCATTTTATAAAAATTATATTAAGCCAAGATATTTTGATTATTCGATTCGTCTACTCGAAGATGAATCCGGATAAGCGAGACAAGTAAGAGAAGGATAGTCACGGGGTTACGAAGTTTTATATAGTCACGCGACTAATAAGAATAACAGTCACGTGATCTGAATAGATTTCGGAAGTCGTGTGATCAGAATAGCTTTATTAGGAGTTTCCGGAATTGCGCGGTAAAGGTGAAACATGTAGAGGTTATAGTCATCGCTTTGGCACGAACACTTCGAGGTCGGTTCTTTGGGAAGTCTCTCGACGCTCACGTGACCAATCTTTTCCATCATCATTGTAACTTGCACACCTCTGCTGTAGCACTTCTTGAGCTTGTTTTCTTGCAGTCGCGTCACGTCGAGGTGCGATTTAAATCATTGATAAGTGGGGGAACTTGTGGACTCTACGTGTTCTCTGCTCCTATAGTAACAAAGATGATTCTTTCTGATATAATCGTCTTTTTGATTATTTTATATTCTAGTATGGTAATAACAGAGATTTTTGTACCTCTTCAAAGAACCGATTGTTTTGTAGGTTGTTTAAATATTTATGATTTAGCGAGTATAACACACGCTTCTGTTTGGATTTTATCGAGTTTTTTTCCTCCCCTGTTCTCTACTATAATATTACGTAAAATTTGTTCTTATTACTATCAACACCAATTCGTGTCTATATTTGTATACGAAAAACTCGTTTTCTGTTGTATTAACAGTGTGGCACTTGTCTCCAGTTGTATCATAAAATGTTGCAGAGTAACGTGTAAAGATGCTATTAGGTGTTGAAAAAATGAATCTACTACACGTTTTGCAGGGGGTACACGTGCTGTTAGGCGAAGAAAAATATATTTGCTATTATTAGGTGACGAAACACATACTGTAGGTCCAACATCTTTCTCGTCAATATATTATTATAACAAGATAGAATTATGGTAATATTAAACGTTCAGAAATTCCGTTAAATGTACTAATGAGTCACGTGACGGTGCTATTTTATGAGAGAAACGCTTTACATTCCTTCAATTAATCATCATTTAAAGTTGCCGTTGACATAACGTTGCCCCTGAATAAGTAGGAGCAGCAGCAGCAGCAGCAGCTCGTAATAAAAGATCGCAAAGTGATTTGGATCGATTTTTACAGCAAATTTTATTTTCCTCTCCCGCATAAACCGTTTTCTGACAGCTTTATTAGTTAAATTAATCTACGAAGCTCTACGTAACAATGTTATAAAAAAATTTGATTGATAACATTCATGATACTTCACTAATTAATTTAGAAATGTGTATTATATATACTCTTCGAGTCGATGAATATTTTATTAAAATCCAGAAAAACAGTTTTAATCATAAATATATTAAAATTTATATAAAACCTTTAAATTACATCTTTTTAAATCGTCATTAATACATTTTAAGCTAAACACACACACATATTGTACGGTTGGATAATGAAGAATGAGATGATTGAACTAGATAAACAAGAACTACGTTATTTCTCATTATTAAAATGTCAAAGTGTACAGATTATGACAAGTTATCTCTTTTGGAACGATAACAAAATGTTTATTGGATTAAAAGACACGATGAATATCAACAATTCTTTATTTGAAAGGCACGTTATAAATTACAACTTCCTAACCGGTAAGTCGCGAGCCCCTGTTAATTTCCCGCTTGTTTCGTCAATCCAAAAGTGAATAAATGAATAAAAATTGTCAGGAACGTTTCTAGAAACAGTTTTCAAGGAGATAAATGTGATCGAAAATGTGAATAGATCGATAAAGATGAATATTATTATTATTATTATTCTTTCGAGTGCACGTAATTATCGATTCGGATGCAATATAGTGTATTAGCTGTGATATAAGAGGACAAAGAGTTGCATCTTTTTTACTCCAGTGTTGCTTAACAATGATCGTTTAGTGTGTAGATGAGTACAGTAATTATCAAGTTAACATTTTCGGATGAGAAAACATCTTTATTCGATTCACATGGGGACAAGGATTGTTAACTATCGTACCATACAAGCTGGTATCTGTAGCGCATAATGTCACAAAGCCATTCATGATGATGGTTTATATATGGTAATCCGATTCATTATACTATATTAACTCTACAATGTATTATCTTCGCTCGAATATCAGTAACTCATAAACGTGTAACGACATTTTC